AAATATTTCTTCTATTTGACCTTAATCGTCGCCGACGACAATGATATACTTTTATATAGTCTGCATTGATAATGAATGAATGAATGACATCATATATATATATACAGTGGGTCTCAAAATTATTCAACCACGTATAATTTGGATTTTTTTTCGTAGCCTTAAGCGCTAGAAAGAATCCAAATGGTGATTTGAATAGAGGATATTGTTGCCAACAAGAATTTGAGAAAATGATAATCGTCATGAATTTTCCTAAAATAGGATTTCTAGAAAACCAAAACCATGGTTTTTCAACATTCAGAAGCCACAACAGAAGCCTTGTTTTGACAGTCTGGAATTATAGAGCAGCCAATTCTCTACAAAATGAGACGTCTCCGAGCTTTCTACGACATTCCCTTCAAAAGTTCTAAGCGTCACAAAAATCGAAAAAAAGTGAAATTTATGAGAAAAGCGACCAAAAACCTCATTTTTTCGATTTTTGTGACGCTTAGAACTTTTGAAGGGAATGTCGTAGAAAGCTCGGATATGTCTCATTTTGTAGAGAATTGGCTGCTCTATAATTCTAGACTGTCAAAACAATGCTTCTGTTGTGGCTTCTGGATGTTGAAAAACCATGGTTTTGGTTTACTAGAAATCCTATTTTAGGAAAATTCATGACAATTATCATTTTCTCAAATTCTAGTTGGCAACAATATTCTCTATTCAAATAACCATTTGGATTCTTTCTAGCACTTAAGACTACGAAAAAAAATCCAAATTACACCTCGTTGAATAATTTTGGGACCCACTGTATATATATATCTCTTATTTCCGTTCAACATACTCCATACATTGATCAGTTATAACACTCGATCGATACTTTTCTTCTGTTAAAAAAATAATTTTATTTAAAAAGAACAACAAAATGCCCTGTTTTGATTTTTCATCTTAACATAGATTTATACTGTTTTTATGTTAGACCACATTGACAGCTACTCAAATGTCGAGACACGCGTTTCTCTGAGATTAACTTGTGTTCGTCTCTATATCAGAACATATTTTATAATGATTATTTATTCGGTCAACTAGTGATGTTTAACCCTTTCACAGGCGGTGGTACATATATGTACCACTTTTTTGTCTTTGGACACAGAACTATAATAAATTAGGAAAATAAATAACTTGGCACATTATGCATAACTGCGTCATAAACATCGACAGAAATTGTTCCCTTGAAATTCGCCCGTGAAAGAGTTAAAATCTTTATTAATCTATCCGAGATAAGAAATATCCTTCTATATATTCAATTATCAAATTATGTGATTTACGAATAGTTTCAGTGTTATTTTTCTTTTTATTAAAACAAAAAGAAAAATACACAATATTAAAACTCTATAAGAGCAAGAACCTGATAATTTTATTTAATCTTCTTGTTTTTAGATATGAAAAATTAAACAATTATTATCATATCTCAAAAACAAAGCATTAAAACGAGCAATATGAAGGTTATGTTTTTTTTCGGTGACTATAATTGAAGAATTACCTCATATATTACTTTATTATAATTTTTCACTCAAAACAAAATCGTTATTTTTTCTCATAATATGAAGTTGAAATTTGCAAATATGGTTCACAAAGAACAATTTGTGATATAATACGTTCATCAGATTTTCTTTCTGGTCTATTTGATATTGATCGACGAACAATATTAAAACAAATGTCAACTAATTCAACAACTATGGGTAATTGTTCATCATCAATTAATTATGGAAAATCTGGTCGACGTGCATTGTCTTGTTCTACAACACCAACAAATACTAATTCAACTGATCTTCTATTAGGAATGATTGAAAAACGATTAGATTTTAAATATAGATGTATGTTCTATTCAACTGGTCCGACTTCAGATTTATAGGGTAAATATTAATTTATTTTTTTTTCATATCGAATCTATTGAATGGCAAAAATATGTAAGGCTCTTCCCTCTCCTGAAAAATCAATCTCAGATCAAATACATGCAAATAATGTATCTGAATTTGATCGAAAAATAAAAATTTATGAGTATAATAAATGAAAAGATATTATTGTAATATTATTAATAAAGATTTCATTTTAATATTAGGAGAATAACATTTATATTTGAATTTGATGGAAGACCATATATTGGAATGATTTCGATAGTTACAACTGTTCAGTCTGTTATGATAATGAATTTGGATCAATTTTCATTGATTATTATTTCTAATTTAGTTTTGTACTCTCGATGTTGTTCATAATTCATCAGTTTTATGTAATTCTATTGGTTATCCAAATATACTTATTGATGAAGAATCAACTAATGAAACAAATAATAATAATACTAAAACACAAATACATAAAATGCATCATCAATATCGACAATATGTTCATCAATGGATATGTATAGTAAATGATTTAATAACATGTAATCATACAATTAAATATAAAAGTATAAATGAAATTTTAATTAAAATGGATCTTTGACTTAAACAACGAAATAAATTAAAAAATAATCAAATAAAATCAATTACAATAATAACAAATATTAAATTATTTAAAGCACAAGCACGACAACTTGTTTGAGAGTTTAATGGTAATGAAGTAAATGAAACAAAAAAAAAAAAAACAAATTTCCTTTTTCTATTTTATTTCATATACAAATTTTTCTTATCTTGATTTAGAAATGAAGTTCGTTTTCTACGTCCATGTTTATGATCGAATACCAAATTTTCGTTATTTTGAATTAGCTGCTAAAAATGTTATTAGTTTAGATTGTTTTAAAAATGAGCATGTGTCATCAAAATAAATCCATCAATTGCATAAGAATCTCTTCTTTATTTAACATTAACTTATAGTAAAGTACTTTTAATTCCAACATTTGCACTTGATTAGTATTTTTTTTTTATAATCTATTACAATTACTTTTGAGCAAAGTTTTAAAGATTTATTTGTAGGACAACTATCCGACTTGACTAATAATTGTTTGTATAATAAATGAGAGATTTCATTAATGAAGAAAGATTAGATAAAAGTGTCTACATTTTGTTTCCATATATTTTCAATTAATTTTTGATAGTTAAGCATTCCAATACACTGTCACTAGAGAGATAATGTTGCAAAAGCAACGAAGTATGCGCTTGAGATTGATTTTTCAGTAGTCTAGTCATATTCTAGAGCGAGACTTCTCTATTTTACTATCATCTGAAGATTTTCGATAAGGATTTGTACGATTCAGAATTGACCTTTGAATTTCTCATTTAGTTACAAGAAGATTTTGCAATTCTATATTCATAGTCACTCATGTCGATGACAACGAATAAACTCTATTTTTTGAAAGATCTAAGAATGTTAAGGAAAAATTTTGCATAGATATTTTAAAACACGTGCAGTGAAAATTTTTGTTCCTTTTTGTCTGACATCGCCAAGTATATAGAGCTGCCCTTTTCAGGATATCTCAAGTAATTCAATATGTATCTATTACATAAAAATTAACAAAAATAAATAAATTCCAGAGTCCAGAGTCCAGAGATATATGTATTTTTATTTTGCGAAATCATGTCGTTAACAAATCAAATCGTTCAAATAAAACTAAACATTCTTGGCTGTTTTGAACGACTTCAAATGTTAGATAATAGTAGTCCGAAACGAACATATATTTCATCTTTTGATCAATACCCATGAGTATACGCATTGATATCTAGTTCAAATGTTTTAGATTATGTAATTGTCAATGTCAATATAAAACTTTAAGTATAAGTTCATTTCAGTGCTATTTATCTTATACGATATCACATACATAGAATGCTGAAATAATGTAAAGAATTTATTTTCATTGATTTACGAATGTGTAACTTGATAAGAAATTATTAGAGGTGTAAACCGATCGGCTGAGTTGCCACTACCGACAGAAGAACAAGTTGGAATAAATCCAGCCATGGTCGTCGTCGATCAATGCATCGGCTTAGATCTCTAGAAATGATCAGAATCAAAAATTCGTTTTTGGACTTGTTATTATTAGTCCATGTTTAGAGTAAAAAAAATTCGCTAAAATGATGTGTTTTGATTTTTTTAGGATCGGTTCTATTCTATAAATTAGATGCAAAATTTTTACGTGGAAATCAATTAAAATTGGCATCAACAAAACCTGGTGCTGCTGAACTAGGCACTGTGTTATACACTTAACAGCATTAAAACAAAATCCATGTTGATTTAATTATTATTGCATCAGTTGTTGTTAATCCTATAAATGGTGCTCGTTGGATTTTTCAAATGAGTGCATATGAAATGTCTTATGCAGATATTCAGTCTAGTCCTCACACAGATAATAAATTCTGCTTGTGTGAGAAGATAAATATAATAAACAGCTTATACGATTAGGACAAAAGCACTATAACATTTTTTTTCTTGCCTTTGACAGACTTTCTTCTTCATTACTTTTCTCTTCAGAGAAAAAAATCAAATGAAAAGTACAGTAAGAGGACTGTTTATCCTTAAAACTTGCTTATAACATAGGAGGGATCGAGAGTAATGATGAGTAAAATGTCTATATCTAATTTTAAATTATTTATAAAGATATTATTAATTAATTAGACTTTTGACAAAGTACCACAGCAGTGAAAACCTTCCGACAACTAATATTGAATAGAAACTATTGTGGATTCTCTATGTGCATATCGCTCTCAACAACTTGAGACTAAACGTTTAAGAGCAAAGCGATCAAAAAAAAGGACGACATATGAACATATAGCAAAAACACAAAATGGACACAGTCATTTTTTTCCACCATGTTCTGCTAATGAGAAAGACTTGAAAAATTTTTTCACTATACTCTTTCTGCCTTGTAAAGCAAAATAGAGCAGAACAGACTATCCTACAGAGTTTATATATCCGACTTTTATTTTTTTCGACTGACAAGAGAACGTCCTCAACTATAACGATCGCTTTCTAATCGAATATAAGCTTCAATGGTAGACTTTGGCGAACCACTAAATACCTTACAACGAGTTGATTTGATTTGATTTGATTTGCTAACTCTGCTGAGCAGAGATATACAATGTCGCTCTAGTAATATACGAGATATTTTGACTAGATGATATGCGCCTATCCAGCTTAAATTTCATCAATAGTCAGACGGTTACGTGATACGGATCTAAAGAATCTACCATTTTATTCTTTATAGTTTGAATTATCAGTCGAATTATATATGGACTCGTCTAACGTATTATGATTATTCGAATCATTATCAAAAACAATAATCTTAGATTATTTCCACATATTAACTAAAATTGTTGCTGTTCATAGGATAATCGAGGGTGTCGTGCAAATGTGATGCAGTTTGTTCTTTATTGTTGAATGCAGAAAAGTTGTTTGAAACTCTTAATTAATTAATTCGAAACTCTCTCGAAACGATATTTCAAACTATGATCTACATTCTTCATATTTTTATGTGACTTATTTGTACTGGACGGTAGTAGAAATTATATATCATGACTAAATACAGGGTGGCTCAAAAGTCACGTTACCGGGAAAAAATTGAGTATCTTCATTACGGCTCGACCGGACGGTCTCATTTTTTTTACCAAGGATAGAGACATGTTCACATCCCAAATCCATATGGACAAGGTCAGTGAGAACCTTTGTTAGGTATCGCTATTGACCTCGATAAGAAAATTTTGCTTTTTCACAGGAAGGAAAAAATTAGTATAGAGGATGGTGCAAAAGTCATTTTATCGAGAAGAAAATTGAATATCTCTATTACAACTCGAGCAAACGAGCTGATTTTTTTGCCAACGATAGAGACATGTTCACACTCCAAATTCATACAGACAAGATTAGTGAGAACCTTTGTCAAGTATATTATTTTCTTTTCCTATCTGTGCAAAAGTAAAATTTTCTTGTTGAGGTTAATAGTGATACTTAACAAAGGTTCTCACTAACCTTATCCGTATGGATTTGGAGTGTGAACATGTCTCTATCCTTGGTAAAAACATGAGCCCGTTTGGTCGAGCCGTAATGGAGATACTCATTTTTTTTTTGTCGGTAACGTGACTTTTGGACCATCCTGTATATATAAATATAGTTATTCACTGCGACCATAAGTTCCTCTAGACAATCTTGCTTTCATTTTACACATCATCTCCACTTTTCAACTACATTAGCACGTATGATCCCTCTCTTTGTCGACTTTGATCATCAACGATTTTATGCAAATGACATATTGAAACAAGAAATAAAAGATTTTATTTCGATCCATGAAATATACATGCAAGATATCAACATCATCATATGTTTTATATTCAAATATATACCAATTTTCTCTTCTAATTTCTATTAACTAAGGCATCGCGACAGATGAGCTGACATTTTCACACGTATACTCTTTGTAAAATGTCTGCTAAAAAGACAAGATAAATCGATGTATTTAGAAGCATCTCTCATTTCAAAAAATTTTTCAAAACTTCTTTTACTTAGGGCAATCCAAAAGTAGTGTCGTCAAGGTTTTATTTCCTTATAGTAAGTAAAAAAAATTTCCTTTTTTTTATGAATAGATAGAGCATCTTTCTATGCTATTTGATCGATCTTCACTCAATATTAGAATAAAAATATCTTGGTGAGAACTATTTTTGTTGGAAGCTGGTTGGTGGCATTAGGTAGTAAAAAGACCTAGAATAAATGGCAGAACTTTATATTTCAGAGTTTAATTCCTAAAGATATTTTATTAAAAAAACCAAATATACCACAAGATGCAGCGTTGTAAAGTTCTATAATCTACAAAGTACAGTTTATTTTATAATATGCTTTTTCTTTCCAAAAAAACCAAAAAATCTACGTGAACCACCTTTCACACTATGAAGGAAATCATTTTTTGATACATAAAAAATTTCTTTTTTTTTCGTAGTGTTCAAGTGGTTTACAAAGATGTTTTGTTTTTTTTTTGAAAAGAAAAAGCATATTATAAAATAAACTGTACTTTGTAGATTATAGAACTTTTCACGCTGCATCTTGTGGTATATTTGGTTTTTTTAATAAAATATCTTTAGGAATTAAACTCTGAAATGTAAAGTTCTGCCATTTATTCTAGGTCTTTTTACTACCTAATGCCACCAACCAGCTTCCAACAAAAACAGTTCTTACAAAGATTTTTTTATTCTAATATTGAGTGAAGATCGATCAAATAGCATAGAAAGATAGAGTGAAAGATGCTCTATCTATTCATAAAAAAAAGAAAATTTTTTTTACTTACTATAAGGAAATAAAACCTTGACGACACTATTTTTGGGTTGCCCTAAGTAGTATCTTTATAGTAAAACTGTCAAAATTTCAAGATAAAAATTTCTTCGACTCCTATTTACCAGCATGAAACCCCTCGAAATCTTTTTAAAAATCGTCTCAACAACTTTGGAAATTTCTGAAATTTTTTCAACAATTTCTGTATCTAAGATCATTGAAAAATTTTGTCATTTAATGCAAATCTTGTCCATTGAAATTTTCAACTAGAGTTCTGCAGAAGAAACTTTTCCTCTCCGCAATCTTATTTGTTCCATCCAAAAAGTTTTTCAATTGTTTCGGATACCGTGTGTTCTCATCCCGAATTTTTTTTCAATTATTTCGTTTATTGAAAAAATATATGCAGAAATCGTTTGAGTGAGGAAAAATACGTCTTTTCTACACGATCAAGAGAAGAGAACGTGTTCATCTATATGATTATTAGATATTAGTTATTTTTGGGTATGTTATTGGTAAGAAAACACTAAACAACAAACATTTATAAGTGTAGTTAAAATTAGTATTTTACTAATTATCAATTGAAATGTTCCAGCATCAAAGGAAGAAATTTAGCTTCTCGTAGGCGAAATATGAAAAGAAAGAAATTAGTTTGAGATAGAAATGCATAGTAAGTACTCTTTCGTACTCATTCACATACAAATTGATGTATTCAAAACGCTAGCTAAACGGGATAATATGCTTAAACTGCAGTAGAAGGGAAACAATTCATAAATAACATGATAAGGAATAGTTCAAAAGACATTTCGCTATTTCGTTCTGTGTTTTTCTTTTGTGTGACTAATTTAAATAGTAAAAAATTTCAAGTTTATGACATGTTTTGATATGCGAACCTAAAAAGTTCGAGACATTAGATTTTTTCATTTCGTCTCAAAGTTTTTGAAAATGTCCCGATTGTCTCGAGAGGAGGACAAACGAGATTTGACATTGTCTAGCTGGTCTCTTTTCTGAACACTTAAACAGTTTAGACGGTTCGGGGCTTCTTTGCAGGAAGAAAGAATAGTTGAAGAAAGCGCGAGGACAAACCATCACATGGACAATATGTTGCAAGATATTTTCGAATTAAAATAGAAGTACTAGGCAATATGTCATATTAGAAAATCCATTATCATCTGTTTGACAGTGTAATCTCTTTTTTTTTAGAAAGTGAAAAATGGTATCATTATTTTATTGTTTTCGTTTATTTAAATACATGAGAATTATTCATATGTATGAAGAAAATAATCTTTGAAATGTTTTGGTAATCGAGTAAGATAATGTGAATATGGATAAATGACTTTAGAACAATTCATCCGTGTTGCATCTCTTGTAAAATTGTATGTTATATTTTTTAATGGTCTATAAGGAATAAAAATCCGAATATTATTTGGTAAACATGTTTTTGTATCAAGTAAAAATTCTTCTAAATAATCTTTATGAGCTTGATGAAGATCAAGTTGAATTAGATGAGAATATTTAATAATTGATAAATTTTGATAATTATTTTTTGATTGATTAAAGAATTTATTCTTTTGTGCTTTAGCATTATTCAACGATAATTTTTTCATAAATGGAAATGATTGTTGAATTCGAATAAAAAATTCATGTTCAAAAGGATATTCATCATATAATGAGATTTCACGAACATATTTAAATAATCCACCTGGAAAACTATTTGTTATATGATGATAATATTTTAATTGATATGGATATGTATAAATATGACATTGACCTATTCTTGTTTTCGGAAGATAATGAACATAAGAGATAATTCGATTGTCGTGAAATTCTCTAAAGGTATGTTGAATATCTTCATTCGATGGCAAATGAATTTGATTATTAAGATTAATAGTCGAAAAAATAAAGAATATAAATTTGTTTAATCGTAACATATAATTAATTATATTTGTCTTCAATTGGTCTCCATCAATTAATTTTCCCTCAATTCTAAGATATAGATCGAGTGTTTCTAAATTCAACATTCGATGTAAAAGTGGTATAATTAACTCATCATAAGTAACGTTACAATAATCACAGTGTAGTGAAAAGCATTTTAATTTAGGGAGATTTCCCTTTAAAAAAAAACTGATATTGATTAGTTTGAGAAAAATTGAATATTAATCAAAATAATTTACCTTATTATTGATTGTTAAACGTGAAGAATAAATGGAATGAATCTCAACATAAAGTGCACGAAGTTGATTAAAACAACCATCAAGTAAATAAAGACAATCAGAGAAAGCCGATACAGAAACATGCAATTCTAACAAAGTTGAAGAAATAATAGTTGGAGGTGACATGAAAAACGACAATCGATCGAAAGCAATTGTTACATCAAATATTAAATATTCTAATTTTGTGAATATGGTCAAGATATGTGTAAATACAAGTTTAATCATATTTTTTATCGATTTTTGATTTTCACTTTCAGTTATATTAATAATAAGTGATGAAATCTGATTTTTGAATATATCAATCAAATAAGTTTTTTCTAAATATAACAAATAAAAAAAAACAACATCTAATCATTTTCAATATATTCTTATGCTTTCCTACACATTCATAAGATTTCTTACTTCATCGATTTTATTAGTATTAGAATTTTTACTTAAATATATATATATCAAAGCGTCTATGTCATAGCGAAAAGCGTGCTTCAATATCATTTTTCATTGGCTAGATATTGAAAACTTTAAACTCCTGCCGTATAAAGTGCACTACTATCCGAGTGGCTATCATTTCTTCCAAATTCTAGTATCCTAAACCAGATCCACATTTGTGAACTATCACACCTTTAAAGTCAGTTGTGGTGATTAAGTAGGGACTTTGTAATATAGACCATACATACTGACTGTAATCCAATATCAAATTAGTACTCATATCATATGGTTTTTCAAGCACGCTCTAACTATATTTTAGCTCTATTTTGGTCAAAAGATACAAAGATTTAATTATTTATGTCCATTTCTATTTCCGCTTGATAATAGAAGTACAACTAACACAATCGGTGAAAGTCCTTGCTCTATCTTTCATGTAATTCAATAGTAAGTTACGAATCAGGATCTAGATTAAATACTTCCAACAGATGTAATTTGGGAATTCTTACTCGACTTAATACTGTGTCATATGAAAAGTAGAATGATATTGAAATAAAATATGTATTATATATCGTATAATAAAAAGTCCTAAACTGAAAATCCTATTTGGTCATTCAAATTGACTTCAATGTTTGGTAGTTTACAAATATGGATTTGATTTAATGAACAAGAATTTGTAGGAAATGAAATTCACTCTACTATTCAAAGATTTAATTGGAAGAAATTGTGTTTTTTTTTTCAACAGAATTTCTGTTGTTAATCCGGAGACATTTATAGTGAATAATATCGACGAAAAATTGCTTAATGATTAGTAGGATCTATTTTTCTTTCAACCTCATTCTACTATGTTCCATGTCATATTTCACTGATCTATAATATTTAGAAAATTAACTTGGATTCAAGTCGCTACTGAGTGACTGATAATACCAATCTGTATTCAGAATTCAAGAATGTTCTTCTCACTCTCCTCGTACAGCTTGATGTGAAAATAAAAAATTTGTTTCGAATCGAGACATATACTCTGAAATATTCTCAATCTAATGAACACGTTGTCAGAAGTCGAATACAGGATCAAAGTTTGAAAAATCTTCAACTTTCTATATGAAAATAGAAAAATTCTTTTTGGTTTACTTGAGTTTTTCTAGAAAGCTAGTTTCCACGTAAAAATCTTCTATTTCGCTCCCATTTCTCCGACATGGTAAGACGATTTGGCCTGGAACTTTCTGCACATACACTAGACATTGTTTGAGATATACACTTTTTTTATTCCGAAAAATATTATTTTACTGACTTTTTGGCAGCTTTTACAAAATTTGTTCTTGTAGAGAACTAAGTGGTGTTTAGGGAACGTTCGATATTTTGAAATTTTTATTTGAAAGATAAATAATATAGCATACCCATTCCGAACAGCGTCTAATTCCTATAAAAAAAGGTTTCAAATCAATTGAATACAATGTCTCGAAGAAAGGGAAGCCATTTTACTTTCTGAAAGTCCTAATATCTCACATAAGACAACAGGTGGGTAGTGTAAGTCTAGGACAATTTTTGTTCTACTGATCAAGATCTATCTTTCCTGAAGATGTTAAATTTTTTTGATGAGCCATTCTTCAAAAATGCTGAAAAGGGAAGTGCGGCTCTTAATAAAGGAAATAGAGTAGAAATACTTACAGTCTGAACGAGTGACTAAAACAGCTGAAGAATCTTTTAGTTCGATTAGAAAATTATCATAAAAAAAAAACGTCTCTCAACTAACCCTTCTTTTTTAGGTATGTTCATATTACTAAAAAACGAAAGATACACAAATTTTCATTGCCTTTAAGACATGTAAACAGAAAAAGTTTGGAGAATGCAAACATTTTCAAAGTTTCACAAATTACAGAAATTTCCAAAACTAAATATGGAAATCTTTCAAATGACTGCATTTTTTCTTGTAACTCATGTTTCGAAAGCTATTATTTGCAAGACTTCCGAAATTTTCTCGTTGACAAATCTGAATACCACAATTTTCATTTCAGAAAATAGCAATCTATTCGATTTTAAAAATTCAAATATAGCAGATATAAATTAGAAATAGAATTTTCCATCAATAGATCTACTTAAATATATTAGAAAACGAATGATACTAATTTGTTTAGGAATTAAGGAGAAAATTAAAAAAAATATGTTACCCGTAAAGAGATATTTTGCTTTTTCGATTTCCAAACCATATAAACCAAGTTTACATACATTAGAATAATTTGTAGAAAGAAGAATACGTTCCATAGATGATGATTCAAGATTTAACCATTTGATTTTATCACCAATATCAGGTAATATTTGTAAACAAATTTTATCAAGCATTCGATTAGATAATGGAGAAATAGAACCGTCCGAAAAACAATTTAGTAAAAATAAATCACTTGTAAAAATTGGATCACGTACAATTTGATTTAATAGTTGATTAGTATTGATTAAAGAGTAGAGTACTTCAACATTGGAGATTTTTTTAAAAATATAAATAAGAATTTCGACGGGTAAATCATTCAATTCAATGCTTGAATATTCCATTTGTCTATTGTCTCTTGACATTAGAAATATTTCTTCTATTTGACCTTAATCGTCGCCGACGACAATGATAT